ACAGCGCGGTATTCGACGTGGCGGCCTCCGTGGAGCCGGTGAGGGACGAGGGAGGGCCTCCCGGGGCTGGGGGCGCGGCGCCCGACGCCTCCTGATCCCTGGATCCCTTGCCCCGCAGCCCCCGGCACGGCCGCCCGGCCCAGCCCAGAAGGCGGACACAGGCTGCACCAGCCGCAGCTACTTCGTCAACCCCCTCTTCGTGGGGGAGGCCGAGGCCTGAGCCCACCTGCTGTCCGCGTCACCAGGGCCAACGAGGACTTGGAGCCTCCATCTCCCTCGGCAGACTCCCTCCTCCCGCCGCCAAGTGCAGGGCGGCCATGTGCAATAAAGTGGCTTCAGTTCCCAGTTGTGCCATCTGCGCCATGGGGCTGGGAGGCCGGGCCTGCCTCACGGGTCACACAGTGGAAGCTGGAGGGCCCTGCCTGACTGCTGGCTGGGGCAGCCTGGGAGTACCCTCTGGGCTAGTGGGCTGGGTTGGGCTGGCCAGGAAGCAGCCGGCCAGAGGTTTGGTCTGCAAAGCTGCCCCCAGAACCAGGGGGTGCCCCTAGGCCCAACCTCAGGGAGAAGACCTGCCAGCGAAGGGCTGACCCCCCCTGCAGCCACACCAAGGCCCAGGCAGTGCCAGGCACAGGGAGAGGCTAGCCACATGGGCATAGGCCGTCCTGGGCAGCATCCTGGCGTGCCTTCTGGAGGGACATGCCAGGCCTCCCCCCTCTACTGCCCTGGCAGAGCAGGGAACACATCAGTGCTGGTGTCCAGCCTCAGGTGTCCGGAAGGCCTGGCCTTCCTGGCTGGGAGGTGGGCCCTGCTCTGGGGGTGGATGTCCACGCTGAGTAGCCTGAGGTGAACACCCAGCACTGCATGGGGACATGGGCAGGTGACGTGTGTCCCAGCTAAGGACACAGCCTGCAGACCAGGGTGCCGACCACAGGTGTGCAGCCTCAGCTGTTCCCAGCTCAGCCCAGGGAGTGAGTCCTGTGGGCTATGTCCACTGTGTGCAGCTGTCATGTCACCTGAGCACTGTTCCTGCTGGTGTGCGCTCACGCCTAACATGGGAGCTGAGGCTGGCCCAACTGGACATGCTGCTGCCCTGGCCCTGGCCCTTCCCCAGCCGCCGCTCAGCAACACTGAAGCCAGCACTCCTCGCTGATCCAAATACGGCCAGGCTGGCCCAGCGTTGGCCTCTGCTGCTCCCACTGCTCCCACACCCTTCTTCAGGCAATTTTGGGGTGCTGCCCTGGAGTGGGCTCTGGAGGAGGTAGCAGCTCTGACATGCTTGGACAGCAGGGCCAAGGCCTGTGGGGGCCACCTATCAAGGCCATGTCAAGGCCAACATTCCCGGCACCCCAGCTCACAGCAGGCTAGCTCCTGCCCTGGGATAACTGACCCTCCTCCCAGCCACCCCTTCTACTCTGACCTCAGCCCCCAGCATGAAATCCAAGCTAGGTTCCTGGGCCCCACCTGGGCTTGCAGCTGGCCAGCAAAGTAGCAGCTGTTCTTAGCCAGACCACCCCTCCCTGTCAGGCAGCCCACAGCTGACCTTGCCTGCCACGTGCACGTGTCCCCAGGCCTCGTCAATGGGGTCCCCTGCCCTGGGGGCCCCTGCCCAGGGACACAGGCAACCTTGTGCATGACCTCCAAGATGAGAAGGCCCTTTCACTACATCACTTAGGGACGGATTTCCAGCTCAGGAAATGCAACTCGGCCACTCACTTCACAGCCACACAGACCACTGAACACTCTGAAACTGCCGCCTCCTGCTTTACTGACAGGTAATTCAAAAATGTTCTCACGGTTCAGTAATTACAAAGACTCAGACTTACATTAAAAAAGTAAAAACCAGAGCCTCAGCAAGTGCCTTCCCAGCAGAAGAGCCAGGAGGGCAGGCGGGGTGGGCGGGTGCTGGGCGGCGTGAGCCACTAACTGCAGGTCCTGAACAGTGTCGCCACGCACAGCAACAGGGAGGGCTGGGAAGCCTGTCGTGAGCTGAGGACAAGCTGTGTCTGCTGCCACAGGATCACAAGTTTTGAATGGGATAGGGTAACAGACCTGACACGTGACACGGGACAGGAAGGGCGAGGTTAAACACGGGCGTAGGGTGTCCCCACACCAAGGGCTGGGCCGGTGTACAGGGCTGTGGGGAGAGCACATGATCGGTGAGGCAGCTAGTCACAGGGCCATGCAGGCGGGGTCCCAGAGCCTGCCGCTGGCTCTCTAGGGCTCTGGCCTCTTGCCGACAGGGCTGCAGGGCTGGCCTGCGCTCGCTGCTTTTACGGCAGGAGCAGAAACCAGGGGACTGAGTGGCAAATACAACGGATGTCACTGGTGACGCCTGGGTATAACTTAGGATGGACTGGCCCTCGCAGGGAGGCAGGGTGTCAGGGCCTGGGCCTCTCCACGACTAGGTGGTCAGCAGGACTTCGGTGGCGACTATGCAACGGCTGAACGAGTAAGGCGCACACCAATCTCCACCTTCCCGTGCTGTCCAAATTCCAGTGCCACTGGGGATGACCTACAACTTCCAACTCCTCCTGAGGTCCCAGGAGACAGTTTCACCAAAGTCACTGAGGCCATCCCAAGCTTCTGCTCCTACGCTGGCTGGGTTCTGCTGAGGAGCCAGTGTTGGCAAGGCCTGGTGGTGGAGCCCGCGCTCCTTGGCTGTTCCGGGGGCGAGGCTGTGGCTGCGTGGTGGTCCTTCACGTGCGGATGGGCAGTACCGCCTCACAGCGGTGCAGGTGGGTGGGCCTGGTCTACCTCCACGAACAACGTGGCATAAAACTGATCATTATCATAATAAAGCATTTTCATTTCCATATCTACAAAGTGACTCTACATTTCCTTGGACAACACTGAAGGGTCAGCTCAGTCTTGGCACTGCCGCTGGAGGCCATGCCTGGCTCCCTGGCCTTGGTGGTGGGCTGGCAGATTCAGGCTTGGCTGGCCGGCTGCTCCAGGCCTTCGAGGGGGAGCTGGCTCCGGTGGGGGGAGTTGGGGCTTGGTGGGCCACTGGGGTTGGAACTGTTTGATGGAGTTGAGTGTTTGGTGGAATCCGAATCAGGCTGTAACAGAAGAGGGCAGCATGAGTAGTGGGCACCCTGGGTCTGCAGAAGGCACAGACTGCCCAGCCGGGCGTGCTGTCTGCTCAGGGCCATGGGGCACCTGCTCTCTTCCTTGCTGTGAGACCACACGTTTGCTATACAGGTTGCTCAGGTGTTCCTCAAGCTTGCTGGTGAACAACTAGGCCGACAAACCAACTGCACTCACAGATGACTTAGTAATTCTAATGACAGAAGAGAAAGAGCAACGACACACACTTGGGGCCAGGAGGCAGCGTGGTGGTTAAGGGCACTGGACTCCCACATGGCCGACCGTGGTTTGAGTCCCAGATTTGGAGGCTTTCTCTCCCTCACTCTTTCTCTCTGGAGATATTAAAAAAATAATAGAATTAAAATTATTTTTAAAAAAGAGAGAGACATGATGCTCTTTCATAAGCTAAGCACTAGGGCTAGAGGAGTTTCCTCAAATGAGTATGGACATTTATGAGAAATCTATAGCTAATTTCTAACGTAACAGTGAGAGGCAAAGCTTTCCTTCTGAGGTCAGGAATAAAACAAAGAATGCCACTATCCACACTGCACCAGAAGTCCTAGCTATAGCAAGTACCCAAGAAAAAATGTATCAGGAAAGTACCCACGTTGGGAAGAAGTAAAACCATCTCTGTTTGCAGAAGACAGGGTTCTAGTACATAGAAAACCCCAAAGAATCCCCAAAAACTGTTACATGAATTTAGCAAAGTTGCAGTATACAAAGTCGCCACACAAAGCCATTTCATTTCTATTAATGTACACCAGCAATGAACGACCCTAAGAGGAAAACAATAATTTTTGTATGCTTTACAATACCGTTCAAAGAAACAGAAGTAAATCTAACCAAGGATGTAAAAAAGTTATATATCACAGACTGAAACACTGCTGAAAGAAATATAAAGTGACCTAAGTAAATGGGAAGATATCCCATGTTCATGGATTATAAGACTTAACCACATTAAGATGTCAATACTGGGCCGGCAGGTGGTGTGGTGGTTAAGGGCGCTGGACTCCCACATGGCCAACCGCGGTCTGAGTCCCAGACCTGGCGGCTTGCTTTCTCCCTTTCCCTCTCTCTCACTCTGTTCCTCTCTGGTCAAATTTAAATAAATAAATAAATTACTTTTAAAAAAGCTGTCAATACTACACAAAGTGACATGGATTTGACACACTCCCTAATAAAATTCTGCCTTTCTGCAGAAATGGAAAAGCTGATATTCAAATTCACATCAGATTAAAAGGGGCTCAGAATAGTCAAGACAATATTAAAAAGAAAACAAAGGTGAAGAGCTCGACTTCCCAAACTCAGAGCTCGACAGTAATGTTCACAACAGCGTGGTGCCGGTGTGAGGACAGACATACGGAGCGTCCAGCAGTAAGCCTGCACACCTGCCAAGACCATCTGATGGGCACACTCCCCAACAAATGGTGTGGATGTTCACGTGCAAAAGGATCAAGCTGGACCTCCACCTCACACCACATACAAAACTTAAAAAAAAACCAACTTTGTGATAGGGTGTGTGTGCTTGCTGGAGAGAGACACAGAGAATGAGAAAGCACCCCCCAGGGGGAAGAGCCACACTGTAATCCCTTCTCCATCCTCCTCTCAGGATTTTGAGCACGCACACATATGCACCTGGCAAATTTTGAAAGCCACTGGATCCAGGACTCAAACTGCACAGCCAGCCATGTGAGATCCAGCCACCTTAACCACCATGTCATTGGCTGGCCCCACATATAAAAGTTAACTCATCAATGACCAGACCAGCTGGTGGTATGGTGACTAGGGCAGCTGGATCCCATGTGGTCAATTGGGCAGTTCAAGTTCTGGACCTAGGAAAAAAATGCCAGGTGCATGTGTGTGCATGCCCAAAATCCTGAAAGAAGAAATGGAGAAGTGATCGAGGTATGGCCATCCTCTCTGGAGGATGGAGGTGTGTGGGTGCGTTCACTTTCCTTCCCTTTCTCTCTGGCAAGCTGACAGACCCTCTAGCAAATTTTTTTTTTTTTTTTTGAAGATTGCTATAGGGCATGTGCACTCGCCAGAGAGACAGAGAGGGATAGAGAAACAGCGAGAAATCACCCCCCAGGGGGGATGGCCATGCTGCAATCCCTTCTCCTCCATTCTACTCTCAGGATCTTGGGCACGCACGCACACGTGCCCGGCATGAGTTTAAGCCACCAGGTCCAGGACTCAAACCGCGGTCGACTATACGGGAGTCCAGTGACATAGCCATTACGCTATCTGCTGGTTCCTAGCAAAATTTTTTTAAAAAAGGGATCAATGGGGACCAGCAGATGGTGTAATAATTACGTCACTGGACTCCCATGTAGCTGAATGTGGTTCAAGCCCCAGACCTAGAGTTCTGTATGAATGGAGAAGAGATTGTGGCGTGGCCACCCCCTGGGGGTGAGTTCTAGCTTTCTGTCTCTCCAGCAAGCGCACACGTCCTATAGCAAAAATCTCTCTCTAATAAAAAGGGGGTGGGGGAGGAATCCATGACTTAAATATAAAAGCTACTGTAAGGTCATAAAACTGTCACATAAAAACGCAGGGATGCATCTCGTTGCCTTTAATTTGGGGATGGAGTCTTCGACATGACACCAAAGCACAAACATTAGAACAAACTGGACTTCACCAAAATTAGACAGTGTCACTTAAAAATAACGTGTCAGAGGGTACTTGTGCTCACCAGAGACAGACAAGAGAGGAAAAGCACGCCCCACTGGGGACGGCCCCACTGGGGTCTGTTCCCCACCGCTCTTACTGATTTGGCACGCTTGCACACGTTTCTCAGGGTGCTGAGGCCAGGGTTTGAGCCCTGTGGTCAGCTTTGTGAGATCTGCTCCCTAACCACCAGGCCACGGGCTGGGCCCCAGCCAGAAAGTTCTACACGGTGAAGAACATTAGCAATACGAAGTGACAGCCCATGACACAAGAGAAGACCCTGGCTCAGCACATGTGATAAAAGTCACGATGCGTAGGGAACTCTCACACCCCAGCCACAGAAAGACAGTCCGGCTGAGAGACAGGCAGAAGGACCCGCCTGTGGCATGCTCATCAGGGTGCCTGGATCCCGCTGGGTCTGGCCGGAGGCGGATTGTGGCATCAAGACCCCGTTAGGGTGCTGTCTCTCTCTCTTGGAACAAATAAACAAATGCAGAGAAGTAGGGACGAGGCTCACAGCAGAGTGGTTGAGCCCGGTACAGAAAGGCATATCCCCCATGGCCAACTGCGGTTCAAATCCTGGCCCCTCCGGTTTGAAGACCACACTGAGCATACATGTGTATGCCCTAAATCCCAAAAGGATGGAGAAATGGAGGAAAGGGGTGACAAGTGACTCCACCCCCTGGGGATGCTGTCGCTGTCTTCTTCTGGGTAATTGAAACAAAGGATGCTAGTGTTGGTGAAGCTGTGGAGAGACCACTAACACGATGCTGGTGGGGAGGTGCAGAGACGGGGCAGTTCAAGAAGTTTAGCGCAGATTTACCATCTCGGCCCGGCAAACCCACTTTTGGGTATGTGCCTAAAGCAGCGAAAACAAATAGGCGCGATGGCCGACAGGGACAGGCCTAGTGCTCGCTGTGGGAGGACTGAGACCGTCTGTCTGCGCCATGGTCACCCAGCCACAGGGAGAGCTCGGCAGACGCCCACTGTGCGTGAGCCCCAGACGCCCACCGATACGTAAACGCAGGGCACTGGTGGAGGCTGGGGCTGAAGGTGGGGAGCGGGCAGAGAGTGCTTAACAAGAGGGGCTGGCAGGGGGCGTGGTGGTTAGGGGCGCCGGACTCCCACACAGCTGACTGCAGTTCAAGTCCTGGACCTGGCGGCTTGCTTTCTCACTTTCCCTCTCTCTCTGTCTTACGCCAAATTAAAGTAAATAAATAAATATTTCTTTAAGAAAAAAAAAAAAAAAAAAGGAACTGCTTACTGAGGAGGGCTTCTGACCCGCGCGATGGGAACGTCTGGGAGTGAGACATGGGGAGGGCCACACCTCCCGTGCTAGGTGCCCCGGAGCATCACTCAGACGGGTGCTCTGCGGTCTGGCGACCACTGTGGTCGGCTTAGCAGAGGACAGGCGGTGCTACAGAGACAGGTGCCCAGGCCTCGGGTACAGTACTGAGCGTGGCAGCCCGGCACAGGGCCGGCCCTCATGCTCAGTGTGGACAAGCCCGAACGGCGTCCTGTTCTCTACCAGAGGGGCTCACTCCACAACACCGCCGTGCAGAGGAAGGCTGAAGAGCAGTGGCAGCATCCGGAGCGAAGGGGAGAGGGCAGTGACAAGTGGCCTGCGGGTCTCGGACTGGGCCCTCACCAGTCAAACGTGCTGTGAAGGCCAGCACGGGGCAGCCGGGAAATCCAGCGCTGACTGCTCGGCCTGCCAGTGTCTCGTGGTGACAGAAGAGAGCATGCGGCACAGGTAACGGGGCCGCAGAGTTCAGGACGAGCGTGCACGTGTTTGTGGATGCACAAGCACTTACACTTACTCATCGCGGGAGAAGGGGGAGACTGGAGGAAGTTTGGGGACTTTTCACTGTTTACCAAATTCAGAACGTCTGACAAGCCCTGAGTAAGGGATATTCCACTAAAAACTGTACTTCCCAAGTGCCGGCTGACCCAGGAGATCAAAGCCACCTCACAAGTAAAGGCACAGACCCTGACTAGGGGCATTGTGGTCTAGTGGGGACGTGCGTGGGGACAGCCCGTGGGGCACCAGAACAGGGCCAGCATGGGCTCTGGGGTGTGGCCGCTGTGGTCGGGCAGTGGCTGTCACCCAGCACAACGCTGCTGCGATGTTGCAGCTCGCTTTCAACAGGCTCGTCCAGGACAGTGCACGGGGCAGAGCGGTGAGCCGGACACACGGGGGTGTCCACACTACTTTCTCGCAGCTCTCCTGGAGGTTTGGAAGGAGGAAAAAGGAAAAGAGAAGATAGACCTACTTCTAGAGAGATTTTTGCTATAAGGTGTGTGTGCTCTCTGGAGAGAGAATCAGAGACGGAGACAGTGAGAAATCACCCCCCAGGGGGGATGGCCACGCCGCAATCCCTTCTCCTCCATTCTCCTCTCGGGATTTTGGGCATGCATGCACATGCACCTGGCAATGAGTCTCAAGTCGCCTGGTCTGGGACTTGAACCACAGGGGTGCTGCACCCATTATGCCATCTGCTGGCCCTGGGATAGGCCTACCTTCTAAAAGCCACCAACTTCAGGCCATTTAAAGGGAGTCTCTGGAACCTTCACGGCAAGGAAACCCCTGTATCATGGCAGTTAAGAGACACCACCTGCCTACGCAGGACTGGAGACGGCCATGGCACTGAGATCGAAGCTGGCCAAGGGCGGCACTGGGACAGGCTGGCCAGGGCAAGGTGGCCGTGACACTGTCAGCACGGCGGTGCTCACGCGCCACCTGCCAGTGTGCCGGAGTAACACTCTGAGACCAGGAGCGACCACCCACGGGGGCAAGGACGCCACGCTGTGACCCTGCGCCAGGTCACCCTCACCGTCCTGTCCTTACGGGAGGTCCCCCAGCTGGGAGAGCACCACTACGGCGCCTGGGCGTCACCAAAGGACCCAGGGGCACAAGGCCTTGACGCCGGGGGGCTGGACTGGTACTGCCAGGCGCCCTGGCAGCATGTGCACACCCCACACAAGCTGTGACGCCTGCCAGACACACACACGGCCACCCTCCCACACACTGCACTGCTGCACACACCACACACACCACCACACCCCCACACCCCCATCACCACCACTCACACCATCCCCACCACACTCCCACCACCACCACCACACACCACACCCCCATCCCCGCCACACACACCACACTCCCACCACACCCCCATCTCCAACACCACACACCACACTCCCACCACCACCACTCACACCATCCCCACCACACACACCACACATACCACCACACCCCCACACCCCCATCACTACCACCACTCACCACACACCCATCACCACCACTCATACCATCCCCACCACCACCACTCACACCATCACACCCCCACCACCACACACACCCCCATCCCCACCACATACACCACACTCCCACCACACCCCCATCACCACCACTCACACCATCCCCACCACCACACACCCACCACACCCACCGCACTCCCATCACACCCCCATCCCCACCACTCACACCCCCATCCCTACCACCACACACCACATACCCGTCACTACACACACCACACCCCCATCAGCACCACACTCACCACACCCATCACCACCCACACCATCACACACCATTGTACACCCACCACACACCACGCATCACACACCCACCAGCACACACATCACGCACCCATCACCACGTCACACCACCTCACACACTCAAACCAGTGACCACACCACCGCACTGCCCCCCCACACCCATCACCACCACCACACACACCCTGACCTTGACCACACACTTTCGAGATGCACTGGCACACAGCGCTCTAGAACAGACCACACGGAGTATCTGGTATCTTAATTAAAGATCAGCTGAACTACTTAAAAACCACCACTTCCTATATAACTAAACAGCCTTGAAGGAAAAGACGAAATTAGAAGATGACGACTTAGGAGGAGCCCGCCCGGCACTGAGGGGGCACAGTGAGCCCAGTGCGCCAGGTGGTGGGTGTGCGGGCAGGCTCACAGGGCTGCTGGGGACACAGCGGTGCGCCCGCTCGCGGCCAGCGCCCGGTGGCTGAGCGCCAGCAGGAGCTCGGGGGGCCGGCCCTAGGTGGCAGTGCTGGAGCAGGAGAGGCAGAGCCTGGCAGCCCAGGAAGGAAGGCCTGGCTCAGGCAGAGGAGGGTCCTGTCATGCCTCTAGTCACCCTCCCTGTGCCTAGCACAGCCCACAGGGGGTGGCAGAGGGGCTGGTGACAAGTGCCCAGGCCCCACAGCACTGGCTGCCCCTGACCTGCAATAGACCCCCAGCTGCCGAGTGCGCCCCATCCCCACTCAGCCCTGGGGCCCGACATGCTGCTCTCGGGCCGGCCCATCCCCGCTCAACCCGGGGCCCGCCATCTCGGGCCGGCCCATCCCCGCTCAGCCCGGGGGCCGACATGCTGCTCTCGGGCCGGCCCATCCCCGCTCAGCCCGGGGCCCGACATGCTGCTCTCCGGCCGGCACACGTCGTCTCCACCCACTGGCCACCCTCGGATGCCACGGCCGCTCACTGTACTTGGGTCTGTCTCACCTCCTTGTCGAAGTCCTGGTCGGGATCGGACATACTCCTCAGAGGCACCGTCACTCCCGGCTCCGATCCTAGGAAACAGGGGCAAGCAACTCTCACCTTAGAGGGAAGGGCCAGACCAAGAGCCCGGGGTCCTCCCCAGGCCATAGGAGCGGCGCTAACTACCTGATGAGGGCCACGAGACGTAGGGCTTGTTCTTGGACGGAGGCTGGCGGGACAGGCTGGGGGGAGCAGGGCTGGGTCTCTCCTCCTGGGACGCGGGCACCGCGCTCTGCAAAGAGAGAGCAGCACCCAAAGTGGCTTGGAGCAGTGTGGCCAAGCACAGGCCGGCCCCGGCCAGTCTGCAGAACCAACGGCTGCAGCTCCAGAGTGCAGAGGATCAGTGGGGCCAGGAGGGTGCTCCAGACGGCCTCGGCTCAGCCAGGAACTAAGAACTAGCAACAGCAATTTTAAGTAAAGTCGATTTGCTGTTGAAAATTAAAATGCGTATGTCACCCGCTCTTACTAAACAGACACTGCTATCTGACCGCGTTTCCTGGCGATACACAGGCACGGCGACAGACGGCTACCCGGTACAGACGTCACTGTGAACAGGCACCCGGGCGGCACGAGGCCAGCACCAGCAAGGCTGCCGATGACACGGGCAGGGGGCATCAGCTGGAAGGCCATGAGACTCTCCAGGGGAGAGGCGCGAGACAGACGGGGGACTGGACGTGAGGTGAGAGGCCCCCGGAGAGGGAGACAGGGAGACAGGAGGGCGTGCCCGCCAGAGGACGCACCAGAGGCAGGTCCATGAGCACCTGCATCCCATCGCCCGGGCCCATGTGGGCCACATGGTTGAAGTTGGTCGGGTTGGAGATCATCTTGGATCTTAATTCCGGGTCTCTGAGCATCTCTCTGGGGAAAGGAGACACCGCTGAGATTCAGGACTGCGAAACCCCGAGCTGCACCCCTGAGGGAGGCCAGGCCGGCTCTGCGGGGTCAGCTCTCACCGCA